TTTCTTTCATAAAAATTCAGAAATTTCGATTTTTAAAAATTCGGAATTTCTTTTCCCCTCAAAATTCCAGCGAGTGTTTCCTCCTAATCCATCTATACTAAAATGTGCATAACTCTTTCTATATATATCAAAAAATTATGAAATTTTATAGAGAGCTAGTAAAAACATAGAAAAACAACTTTTATTCTTTAAGTTTTTCTCAAAAATCAATCTAACAACATCAAATAAATCTCACAAGATTCGGGCAGATTCTTCTCCCAAAATTCCAGCAGAAAGCATTTCGAAACAACCCTCACTATAATTGGTATAACTCTTAATGTATAGGTGTAAATATTATACAGATCTATTCAACACATAGATGAACAACTTTCATTCTTTAAGGTTGACCCAAAAATTACCCTAAAGTCCTCAAATAATTCACACAAAACTCGGGCGTAATATAGTCCTTAAAACACCGATTTTGCATATTTGATTTCTTTAATAATTAAACCATTAATCTTAAGCACAATAACTTTAATTTAACATAAATCACATATTTCAAGCATTAATTTCTCATGATGAAATGATAATTATACTTACTCTTAATATACATATATATAGAATTATTCTAATACATATCGCGTTACGGATAAGGGTTTTTACAGGGGTTACACATTAAGTTGATTTTTTCCCCTTCTTTTCAATATAAACAAATTGATTTTTATAAGGGTTGGATTTCTTTTTAATGGCGTGAAGTTCATTCACCTTAAAAAGGAGATTGACTTTACATTTATTTTAACCGGAATTTTTTCCCTCCATTAAGAAATTAATTAAATTAAGTTTTTCGGATTGAAAATTACCGTTGCTCCTTACTATATTTTTCAAAAAGAATTAATTAAAATGGTTATTAAATATATTTTTAATTAAAAAGTTATTTTGAATTTCAATTAATAAAATCAACTTCACTTTGTTTCGGAATCCTGTGTTTGGCTCTTTAAATTTCATATTCAGAGAAGAGTCTGTTTCTCCTAACTAATTTCGGTTTTTTTTTTCATTAATAAAAATCAACTTTTTGTGTTTATTTTCAATTTTTTTATATTTTACATCTAAATTTTTATTAATTATCTACAGATTAATGTTTTTTATCTGTAGTTATTTTAAACTATACAACTAGCATTATCTATATCCTTCGTTGAAGTTAATTAGCAACTTTTGTCAACCATTTAATTTATCACGAGCAAAAGTGGACCGAGGAGTTAAAACCATTTAAAATTAGTAATAAAAGGGCTGTTGAGGACCAAAATCAGATAAAGATATCAATAATTAATATAAAAAAATTAAAAAATAAAAATGGAGGGACATTCAGCAATCTTCCGTGCTTCTTTTTGTTATATAAACTTTAAAAAATGACGTCGCTTTTTATATTGATCAAACAAATGGATGATTGGTAACTAATGGTCCATTGAAGGAGATGTGTATATAGAGTTGTAGAATGTGCATAATTTAGAAAGAGTAGCTATCAAGACTGTATTCCCATCCCAGATGCGTCGATATATATATATATATATATATATATATATTTGACAATCGTGGAAAATACATGAAACATTAAATTTTATCTATTGAGATTGTTGAATTTCCCAACCCAATGCGGCAATACATTGAACTAAACTAGAATAATAATAGTAATAAAGACTCTTCCAGGAAAACCATTGGCTCATATTCTCTCTCAACTTATTTACGATCCCCAAAATTTTCCAATCTCAAAAACCAAGGAATACTACCTTTGACGACGCTGTTTCAAGGCAGATTTCATTTGCCAATTGATTAGCTCGCCGGGATAGTTGGGTTTTGCAGAAAATTCTGTCCTGATGCGTCCAAGAATCATTTTTTTATTTGTGAATTGGTCAAACTCCAATTCATAAATTGGGAGAGTGACAGAATCTCCTGTAGATTACGCAGAACTCGTATATAAAAGATGTAAAAGAGGTCCTGATCGCGTAAGATTCGCGTCTTCATCCAATTTTATTTCTACTTTTTCAGAAAGAAATAAAAATAAAAACTTGTCCTATCAGCTAGCTATGGTGGTTTGGATACCGATCCAGTTTTCCTTTCTTTCTCATCTCATAAGGCGAAATGTTCGAATAAAAAAATCCTAAATTTTCACAGCTGGACGCATTGCTTTTCCATCCAAACTTGCTAATTTTGCCGCCTGACAATAACGTATACGTTGTATCATAGAATGAAGTGTCCCCTTGTCGCGTTAGAGATTCTTTATCAAAATTTCTGGATTAAACCCTCCGTTAATAAAAATACTGTAGTGGTAGTAATAATAATAATATATTATTATTATTAAATTTATTAATCAAACTGTTATCCGCATCATTTTAAGAAAAAATTATCAATACATCTTTTATCAATTACTAATAATTATTATATAATAAATATTAATAAAAAATATATTGATAATTTTTTAAAAAAAATTAATAAGAATAACAATTTGATTGATAAATTTAGTAATGCCCATAATAATAATAATAATAGCAAATAACAATAACAATGAATCTAAATTTTAAAATCTACAATAATGTAATGTAAAAGGAAGTTTTTCAAAAAGTTTTTAATTATTACTACTTATTAATATAATGTAAAAACAAATAGTTGTAGGTTAAATTTTAAGATATTAAAAATTTGTATTATCAAGAAATTGACGATTATCGGATTTAAAGAAAAGTTAAAAAAAAGATAATAGTAGTTATGTGATATTACTAGTATTTGCATAGTAACATATATGTTAAAATTTTGTGAAATAACTCGTTGCAAATATATGATAATATTAATATTTTTTTTCTTTTTTGTGGATCTTGACTTATAGCATTATCATTTTAGATTTCGAAATAATAAATATTTATTTTGCTACTACGTAAACGAGAAATGAAAACTATTTATTATTGTTTTTTAATAATTTTATTGTATTTTCTATTTAGTTCAAGGAAATTTTTTATTAAAATTATTTGATTTTATGTTTTTGAATTGTGTGACATTTTCAATTTTTTTTTCAAATTTGATACATAAAACATTATTTTAATATATTTTTATACGGATGTCGTAGTTGAAATATATTTTATATTAAAATAATAAATTAAATATAGTAAGAATATGCTTTTTTATATATATAAAACCAAGTGATAAATTTAATAGAATTTCAAATCTAATCTAAATGTGTGAGAATTCAAATCTAAATTGATATTTTCAAAATCCAATTTGATTTGTTTTATTAAACAAATTAAATCCAAATTTATATATTATGATTTGATTTGAATCCAATATATGTTAATGTTAAAAGGTGTATACATCATATCAGTGAAACATGATTATACATAAGCTTGTTATTTATGCTTTTGTACCATTATATTATTATTATTAGTGGTGGTTTGTTCATTTCTTAAGTTGATTTTTTTTTCTTCTTTTCCAATATAAACAAATTGATTATTATAATGATTGGATTTCTTTTCAATGGCGTGAAGTTCTTTCACCTTAAAAAGGAAATTTACTGTACATTTATTTTAATTGGAATTTTTTCCCTTCAATAAGAAATTATATATATTAGGTTTTTTTTTTGGATGAAAATTACCAATGCTCCTTACTATGTATCTCAAAAAGAATTAATTAATATCGTTATTAAATATAATTTTAATTAAAAAGTTACTTTAAATTTCAATTATCAATTTACTTGTGTTTGTTTCAGAATCTTTTTTTTGGTCATTTCAATTTCATATTCACATATTTTGGGAACATTCTGCTTCTCCTTCAATTAGTTTCGGTTTTTTTTTAAAAATAAAAAATAAAAATAAAAATCAACTTTCTTGTGTTTATTTTCAATTTTTTTTTATATATTCTACATTTAAATTTTTATTAATTTTCTACAGTTTAATGTTTTTAGTAGTGTGTATATATATATATATATATATATATATATATATATATATAAAACCATTATCTACATCCTCCATTGAAGTTAATTAACAAATTTGGTCAATCATTTAATTTATCACGAACAAAAGTGGACCGAAGAGTTAAAACCATTTAAAATTACTAATAAAAGGGTTGATAAAAACCAAAATCAGACAAAGACATCAAAAGTTTTAGCACTCCCTTCAAAGAGGCATGTGGCTGCAACACAGGAGCGGTTATCCATTTTGGATAACTATTGCTGTAACCCAAACATTCCCTGTTCCAAAACATCAAACAAGTTAAAAGAAAATTGATAAATTGTTATAAGTGGAAACCACAAATTAACTCCTACCCATCATGCCCAAAAAAAAAAAAAATTGTTTTATGTTTTATGAGAAGTTGGTCAATTAAGGCGGCTAATGGCTATGGCTTTGAGTATCGCATAGCTGATAAAACCGTACCTCTCAGAGCCCTGCTGCCCAATGAGCGTTAGATATCACTTATATTTTCTTTTGCGCTTTCTCCACTGAAAGTGATCTTCTTTGCGATCTGGAAAAAAAAAAAAAAAAGAAAGAAAGAAATCCCGGACATTTACAGGTACAAGCTTTTGATCAAAAGAGACGGGGGGAAAAAAATCGAAGTCTTGGAACAAAAAAATAGAGAGCGAAGATCGAGTTTGTAAGAGTGGCAAAGAGAAGAAAACCAGAGAGGTATAGGAGGATCTTGAAGTAGTTGCGAAGAGACGAGAAGAAGGAAAAATTGGCTTGGCTAGATCCGGCGCTTCTCTATTTAAATCTTCCCACACGGTTTGTTTCTGCTACTTTCGCATAGAACTTGTAGAAATTTGGCGTTTTTTTTTTATATTATTTTTTAGTAGAATTACGTTCCAGCTTGAAATTGCCAAATTAATTTCTTTCGTTGCTAACTCTCTTTAACTTTTATTTCATGTTTGAACACAGGAGCAGGCTATGTATAAAATGGCATGGAAATTAACCAATTGCTGAACCATCCTATAGCTATTTGAGACTAGAAGGGATCAGTATTAATTTATTGCTATTGGGATTTCCATGGCTTCCACCAGCTCTTCTTCTCCACAATGGGAGTATGATGTGTTCCTCAGTTTTAGAGGCAAGGACACCCGGAATAACTTTACTAGCCATCTATATTCTAATCTGGAACAGGCAGGAATCGAGGCATATATGGATGATAGTGAGCTAGAGAGAGGAGAGTCCATCGAACCTGCTCTATGGAAGGCCATCGAAGATTCAAGGTTTTCAGTCATTGTATTTTCAAGAAATTATGCTTCTTCACCATGGTGCTTAGATGAACTTGTCAAGGTTGTTGAGTGCATGAAAGAGATGGGGCACACTGTTTTGCCAGTTTTTTATGATGTGGATCCATCGGAGGTAGCCGAGCAGAAAGGGAATTATAAGGAACTTTTCATTGAGCATGAACAAAATTTTAGAAATGATTTGGAGAAGGTGCGCAGATGGAAAGATTGTCTCGCTACAGTTGCCAATCTATCTGGTTGGGATGTACGGAACAGGTAAAGCTGATTTTTTTTTTTTTTAATTTTTTGGAAGGAGTTATTAACACCACCTCATAAATTGATATTCTCACTCTATGTGGTTTTTCGAATATATATATATTTAACTCAAACATTCAAAACACATGTAAGACTTCTAATAAAATTATTATTTTAAGATCTGGATTGGTAAATTCTTGTAAAATTTGGAAGACCACTTTTTCTAAACTTTTTCGCATAATGATTTTTTTTTCTAATTAATTAAAAGAATGATTGAAAGCTATTCATTTGCGTAGTTGAGTTGTAATGGCCAGAAGTAAGCTGACTTGTAATTTACATGGCTTATATAGATATATATTAAAGTAGTTGAGTTTTCATGATCAATTTAACAAGTGGCAATATATATCATTAAGGAATTCTTGAAGGGTTATTTAATAGGTTACTTTAACGTTAGTGATTCAGTTTTCGTGATGAGCTTGACAAGTAACGATATATAAAAAATGTTTGCCAATGATCATATGTCAAAGGATATTTTTGAATGTTAATGCAGCCATAATTCAACTAATATTAATATCATTTCTTTCTTTGATATTTTTTAAAATGTTTCGAATTCAAACTTTTTATATAATAATAATAATAATAACAATAACAAAAAGATCTTTCAGATAGAAACGTAAATAATTGCAAGATAGATTGATAAATTCATATTTTATAGGGAAATTAAGAAGTGTTAAAGCAATCAAACTTTTGGTTGGAAAATAACTGGGAGTTATTTTTTCAATTTATTATTATATAATAAGATAATTTTTTAATATATATTTATATCTTTTTAATTGAATTAATTTTATTTTTTAATATACTTTAAGTTTTTAATATATTTTTTTATTAGATTTTCAGGTCAAATGATTATAATTAATCACATGGTTTATACATTACTATTTTCTATTCTTAAAATGTCATGTAACAATATTTTATTGTTTCTTTTGCCCTTCTGTATGACCTGATTTTTGCACACTGCATGATTAATGTTTTTGCTCCTTTTATGCAGGAATGAGTCGGAATCTATCAAAAAGATTGTTGAATATATACAGTACAAACTAAACGTCACTTTGCCAACAATTAGCAAAAATTTAGTTGGAATTGATTCTCGTCTAAAGGTCTTGAATGGTTATATAGGCGAAGAAGCAAATGGGATTCCCTTTATAGGGATTTGTGGAATGGGTGGTATAGGCAAAACGACTATTGCAAGAGTCATGTTTGATAGGATTCGTTGGCAATTCGAAGGCAGCTGCTTCTTAGCAAATGTGAGAGAAGTTTTTGCTGATAAAGATGGACCGTGTCGTTTACAGGAACAACTGCTTTCAGAAATCTTAATGGTGCCTGCTAATAAAGTATTGGATTCTTCTAGAGGGATTAATTTGATAAAGCGGAAGTTGCGGCGTAAAAAGGTTCTTCTTATTCTTGATGATGTAGATGATCAAGAACAGCTAGAAATGTTGGCTGCAGAGTATGGATGGTTTGGTCCAGGGAGCCGAATTATCATAACAAGCAGAAATAAAAAAGTGTTGGAGAAACATGGTGTTACTAGAATCTATGAGGCTGATAAATTAAATGATGATGATGCTCTTAAGTTATTTTGTTGGAAAGCTTTCAAAGAAGAGCAACCTGCCCAAGGTTTCTGGGAAATGTCCAAGCAAGTTGTGGGTTATGCTAATGGCCTTCCATTAGCTCTTGAAGTCATAGGTTCTTTTTTGCATGGAAGAGGTATACTTGAATGGGAAAGTGCAATTGATAGAATGAATGACATTCCTGACGGGAAGATTATTGATGTGCTTCGCATTAGTTTTGATGGCCTCCATGTATTAGAGAAGAAAATATTTTTAGATATCGCTTGTTTCTTTAGGAGGATGAAAAAAGATCGAATAACAAGGATACTTAACGGTTGTGGTTTCCATGCAAATATTGGAATACAGGTTCTTATTGAGAAATCTCTTATCAGCGTCTCAAGGAATGAAATATGGGTGCATAATTTATTACAGAAAATGGGTCAGGAAATTGTTCGTTGTGAATCTCCTGAAGAGCCTGGAAGACGCAGTAGATTGTGGATATACAAGGATGTCTGCGATGCACTGCAGGACAATACAGTGAGTAGCTGCTCTAGAACATTATCCTTAAGATTTCATGAGGTTTATTATAATCTATGCTCTATCTCTGCGTTATAATTGTTGTTTACTTGTCCTTCCTTTTGGTTGATAGGGGAAAATAGAAAGCATATTCGTGGACATGCCAAAAAACGAAGAGGCGCAGTGGAACATGAAAGCCTTCTCAAAAATGAGCAAGCTGAGATTGCTCAAAATCCACAATGTGGAGCTTTCTGAAGGACCTGAATATCTTTCAAATGAGTTACGATTTCTCGAATGGCATGGTTACCCTTCAAAATCATTGCCAGCTTGTTTCCAGGTGGATAATCTTGTTGAACTTGACATGTCATACAGTACTGTTGAGCAATTAGGGCATGGATTTAAGGTGAGACCCAATAATTTGAGGGCCTTTGTATTTCTTTTTCCATATATATATATATATATATATATAGTATTTATTGTTTTTGCAAGTCACAGTAAGAATTAAAAAAACACGAGAAGGCATCAAAGGCCAAATGGTGAAACAAAAGAGAATAGAAAGCTGCAAAATAATTACAGCAAAAGAAATAATACAAGGATCCGACAGTAACATTTAATTTCTTTTCTCTCCTACTTTTGATTGCAGAGATCAATTAATCTAAAAATCATCAATCTCAGCCACTCAATAAACATGACCAACACTCCGGATTTTACTGGAATTCCAAATCTAGAGAGTCTGATTCTTGAAGGCTGTACAAGTTTGTTTGAGGTCCATCCATCACTTGGACATCACAAGAAGCTTCAACTCGTGAATCTTGTGGACTGCAATAGTCTTAGGATTCTCCCAAGCAACCTTGAAATGGAATCCCTAAAAGTTTGCAGGCTTGATGGCTGCTCGAAACTTGAGAAGTTTCCAGATATAGTAGGAAACATGAACTGCTTAAGGGAGCTTCGTTTGGATGGGACTGGTATTGCTGAACTATCTTCATCAATTCATCTTTTGAAATCACTTAAAAAACTTGATCTGTCTGGTTGTTCTGAACTTCAAAACATACCAGAGAATTTGGGGAAAGTAGAAAGTTTGGAGGAGCTTGATGCAAGTAAAACTTCAATAAGACAACCGCCAGCGTCCTTTTTTCTTTTGAAGAATCTTAAAGTATTGTCTTTTGAAGGATGCAAAAGAATAACTGTGAACCTCACTGATCAAGTGTTGCCTTCTTTGTCTGGTCTGTGTTCTTTGGTAGAGCTTGATTTAAGCGATTGCAATCTAGGGGAAGGGGCAGTTCCTGAAGATATTGGCTGCTTAACTTCATTGTGGAGTTTAGATCTCAGCAGGAATAATTTTGTTAGCCTGCCTAAAAGCATAAATCAGCTTTCTGGGCTTGAAATGCTCATCTTGGAGGATTGTGTGATGCTTGAATCATTGCCTGAGGTTCCATCAAACATTCAAACAGTAAATTTGAATGGTTGTTTAAACCTAAAAGAAATTGCAGATCCAATAAAGCTAAGAAGTTCGAAAATATCAGAGTTCAAATGTCAGAACTGCTGGGAATTGTACAAGCATAATGGCCAAAACAACTTGGGTTTGAACATGCTTGAAAGTTACCTCCAGGTCTTCTCTCCCCCCCCCCCCCCCCTCTCTCTCTCTCTCTCTCTCTCTCTCTCTCTCTCTCTCTCTCTCTCTAAAATTTTGGTTGTATGATACAGGGCTCATTTCCAAGACCTGGATTTGGTATTGCTGTTCCTGGAAATGAAATTCCAGACTGGTTTAATCATCAAAGTAATGGATCTTCAATTTGGGTGCAAGTGCCTTGTAGTTACGAGGATGGTGATGATAGTGGATGGATGGGGTTTGCTGCATGTGTTGCATTCAGTGCATATGGCGAAAGTCCTTCTCTCTTTTGTCATTTCAAAGTGAATGGAAGAGAAGATTATCCTTCGCCGATGAGTATAAGTTGTAACTCAGTCCAAGTTCAGTCAGATCATCTTTGGTTATTCTACTTGTCTTTTGATTACCTGAAAGAGCTTAAAGAATGGAAGAATGAATCCTTTAGCAACATTGAGTTGTCGTTTCATTCTTATGAGCAAGGAGTGGAGGTGATGAATTGGGAGCGAGGAGTAGAGGTGAAGAATTTTGGGGTCTGTTTGGTATCATCTTCTGGCCGTCTTAGTGTTGCAAGCAAAGAAGCAGCTTCTTCATATATTGATTATTTGGCTACTTCTTCATCTTACCGTCAATGGAAGCATAATGTTTTCCTTACCGTCAATGGATGCAATAATTTCACCTATTTATATACAGCTCTAGTCCAGAGAGGCATTATCAATCATGGAGAACTAGAGCATTTAAAGGTAATTGGATCAAGTCTGTTAGAGGCCATTGAAGAATCGAGGCTGTCAGTTATTATTTTTAAAAGAGATTATGCTTGTTCGATTTGGTGGTTGGATGAACTTGTTAAGATTGTGGGATTCCTGAATAAGATAAGATCGGAGACTGTTTTTCCAGTTTCAGTAGTTTCTTATGATGTCGAACAATCGAAGATAGATGAACAAACAGAGAGTTACACAATTGTCTTTGATAAGGATGAAGAAGGAGATTTCAGCCAAAGTGAGGAGAAGGTACAAAGGTGGATGAATATTCTCAACAAGGTCGCCACTTCATTTGGATCGGAATCATCAGAAAGGTAATTAATCTTTACTTCCTTCGTTTTGTCCCCTCAACTTAATTATCAACCACTACAAGTAAATGAAACTAGTGGATACTGAAATATGGTGTTGCCTTCGGAACTTAATGTTAACGAAGTTAGAACAACATGTACGAAAAAAAAAAAAAATCAGTAATCCTTAACATTGATTCCATCTTCTAGTTTGACTAAGCAGTGAGGGTGGGAAAAAGAATGTTTAGCTTTCACGTGCTGTTTATCTAAACTTAGTTTTTGCTGTATAGGTGCTTTGTATGTTTATGACTAAAAATTTAGATAAAAATATAAGGTGAAAACATGTTATTAGTTGTAGTTATTGTTAAAATCGAATTGCTGAATGATTTTTTTTTTAAAAAAAAAAAAAAAAAAGAAAAAAGAAAAAAAACGTTACTATAGTTGTTCTAAGAGGAAGAATGATATTGATCAAAAGTAACCGATGACAAAAACTCACCTTGCGTTCAAAGTAATTGTTATTTACTTGATACAAAGAATAGGAAACTGAACTGTGAAACTTCGCATGTTCAAGCCTTCTGTGGAAGTTGAGTCCTGTGTTATATATATAGAAACTTTGCATCCCAATAACCTACTTGCTTTGATATTTTACGTACGTACGTAGGAGTAATACATTTCTCCAAATTTCCTTTGCAGCATGGCATGTAATTGTCATCCTCATTGGCTTGGTCATGACTCATCAAACAATTCAGGCTAACAATTCTTTCCATTTTTGCTTGCCCGCATTTGGTAGTCAGATTTTTATGAAAATTTAGCATTAGCACTAGGTAGGTTGTTGGAGAATAGTATCTTTCATTTGAAGATTTGGATGAATAACACTACAAATTGTACTCTGAATTGACACCATTTGTTCTAAATGAGCATCTAGCTAGGCCAAATCCAATTATCTCCTTCAATTACTGCTGAAACCTTTACCGTGGTAAAGGAGCCTCATTCATACATAACTCTAGACCAATACCACGAGTCCAAGTGCCCCTACCTAAAATTTATATGTATATTATTTGTTATCATCTCATGGATGAATGAAAAGTACTTAACAATGTCATATTTGCATGCATAGTGTTAACATTGAGACTTAAAAGAAGTCAGTTATTGAATAAATTGAAGAAATTTAGAGAAAAAGAGTTAATTGAATAAATTAGAAGAACATAAGGGTTAATTGACAAAATTTAAAAATACAAGCATATAATTGAATAATTGACGCAAACATATATAGGCGTAAATTTAGTCGTTTTGCTTTTATTATTTTATTTTTTAAAGTGTAGAGTGACTTTATAAAATGTTAAAATATTATTTTTATGTTGTTGTTAAAAAACTTCAAAAAAAAAAAAAAAAACAACTAAAGTAAGTTTTAGCAGAATGAAAACTTCAAAGGAAAAAAAAAAAAAAAGCAGCACATTTCTATAACAGCTATAACTTTCCACTTACTAAAGCACTATTTTTTTTTTTTTAATTAATGTTAGGGCGGGCCTACTTGGAGTTTTTTTTCTTAAGTCTTTTACTAATTTTTGTTACTAAGTGATTTGGCACGTTAATCATGGAAGATTTTTAAAATCATGGCAGGGTAGACTTTTGATAACTAATGTAATATTATCATTACTATATACATATATATATATATATATATATTACCACATCATTTAGTAAATGAAACTCTTAATATCTCTAACATCACTCTTTTAATAATTTGTTTATATTTTACTTAGACAATTATTGCAAGTGGATCTTTCATTTGAAGAATTTGCTACCCCTTTCTATTAGACCAAATAAGAATAAATAAATAAATAAATACCCTTCAAAATAGAAAAATTCTTGATTTTTAATTCAAAATCTTGTATTGATATTTCTTCGATCATTAGAAAATTGTTCCTAGTTTTTATTATAGAAATTTGAATGTTAGATTTGGATGTTTAAAGACTTAAACATTATATATCTAAACACTAATATCCAAAATTGTGTGTTCAATTTGAGTTTTAAAATGTTTTTTTTTTTTTTTTTTTTTTAGAATGTTTGCGAGGTTAAAAAAATTATTTTGGTGATTTTTTTAAAGTAATTTGATGGTCAGAAAGGTGAAGTTCTAATAATGAATAGTAACTCATCTATTAAAATCAAAAGAAAAAAAAATTATAAATGATGCAAATCAAAATAGTGATAGTTTCGAGGTTATCTGTACATTTTACTCTAGAATACTTAGACTATTCGAATAAGCAAATTCTTCCACCTATTGAGAAGCTTTCCCTTCTAAGATTGAAGTATTTTTCTGACCTATTTTATCACTTGCTTCTAAGTAAAATTACGCCTTGAGTTTGTGCCTAAAGACAAAGACTTTGCTTTACATCTCAAATAAGTTGTCATACTAGAATGGAAATCAAAATCCACATTAATGCCAACAAGAAAGCTTTTATGAAAATTGACTTTCAAGCCCAAATACAACTCAAACCACCACATTATCCTCTTAACATTAAACAAGTCTTCCAGATCATTATGGTAGAAAATCACAGTATCATCTGTAGACTATAACCGACTAATGTGGAGATTGTTACCTAGAGAAATACCATTAAAGAGACCATTTTGTGTAGTTTTGTTGAACAAAATCAAGAGACCTTTTACAACAAGGTTAAAGAGAAAAAGAAAATATAGGATCCCTTTGTCGAATGCCTATGAACAAACTGAACTCTAAGTTAGGAGACTCGTTTGTCAAAAACTAAAACCCTTGTAGTGATGATGCATTACGGTCCCAAAATCCATAATCTATAATAAATTGTCCCATAAGTTTGAATCAAAAGTCTTTGGAAATTCAATTTTGAAAATAAACTCACGAGTCCTTTGCCTTTTTATCCTATAGGCAACCTCATTAGCTAACAAAACTCCATCTAAAATTTGACAATCAAAAACAAAAGATGACTAGACCTCATTAATAACTTCATGCATAACATTTATAAGTTTGGAAGCTAGAATTTTGGAGATAATCTCTCAAAGATCATCAACAAGGTTAATGGATCTGAAGTAAGGGAAACACACTACTTTTGAGTTTTTTAGAACTAGAGTAATAAAGGCATTCTTAATACCTTTTCCATTGATCTTGTCCTAAAAAGACTCATACACCACCATATCATAAATATCACCACCAATCAAGTCTCAAGCATGTTTTTAAAAATTAAAATTATATCCGTCAGGATGTGGCACCTTTAACCCCTCACAACTTCAAATTGCATTCTTCACTTCCTTCATAGACACCATCTTCTCTAGATCACAAGCGAAAGTACTATTAAGCTTTCTAAAACCATGGCAGCTAGGTAAGGTTGGTTTTGAAAATTTCTAGAGAATAAGCAAGAGAAAAAATGAACTGCTTTAGACTTGATAGCATTCGATTTAATACGATTGCATTTTCCCCAAATTGAAGTTGTCTGGTGGAAACGTTTGGTATTTCAATCACCCCAAATTGCTCTTGCCTTTTCCCTTTACAAGGATTCCAATTTTTTGATGATAGAACATGAGTTTGATCGATGAGATTTAACCACTCCAACTCTAAAGTAGAAAGATCCCAAGTTTCACTAATAAGCTTCAGATCATTAATTGATTTTACTGCTTCCTTCAGCTGACCCTTCCAAATTATCAAAAGAAGAAGCATTCCACTCCTTCGACTTACATTTAAGAAGGCGTAAGCTTTTTATGATTCTCGTATGGTTAGGCTCAGCTTGATATTAATCCTACCAATGCTTTGCAAAGTAACATTGAAACCTGGATGATACCATTAACAGTCGAGATCTGAATGGCTTCCAACCCCAACTGACATTATCAATTCCCAGATCTAGGGGACAATGATTACATAGGTCCTTATGGAGTCCAATCAATTTACATCTCGAAAAGTGCAAAAACTAATTCATACAATAAAAAGCTTTATTGATTTTGCTCATTGATCTTGCTCTAAACCAAGTGTTCACGTTCCTAGTCAAAGGATACTCAACAAGATTGAAGTTTTATCTCTAGCCTGCATTGTTTTTATTAAATTCTCTTACTAGAATTTATAGCACATCAAAAGCAAATTGTAACAGTGTCAGACTCCTCTCAACTGCATCATTATTGAACTATAAGGTAGTAGCCTACTAGTAAGCAAATATTGACTTGTAGACTACATTTAAGGTTTCATTCTTATGGTCAGCACTCTTGAGAATATACCCAAGGTTGTGTGTTAGGAAGTGCTCTTTAGCCACGTCTAGGAAGAGATTAGTCTCGAAGTGCATCAAAATTAACCCAGGAACACTCTTACTGCTAATAAATAAATAAATAACACTCACAACCATGCCATCTGTTTTCAAATTACTTTCCAATATTATAGTTTATTTTGTTTTCATATTAGTTTCATATAAAAGAGTATTGAATTAAATGTTAAACAAATAAAAAATTATTCTTTTCTTATATATTTAGTAGATAATTATGGAATTAAGTGTTAAAGTAATAAATTTAGTACCTAATTATGCTAATTAATTAAATATAAGCAAACAAACATAATAATTAGTGGATAATTTATATTTTTTTTATTCATAACAATTTTAAAAATCAATGACAAATTTGTAATAAGAATATTAATAAACGAGATGTATTTGCAAAGAATCTATAAATTCTAATAAACCAAATGTAAGTAAAAATTAATACAAACTAAAGACTCATGTGTGAAATCAAATTAGATATGCAACTAAAAATGTAATGGGTTAATATGATTGGAAGCAATAAGAACTAAAATGAAAGTTTGAAAAACTATTATCCTATATACTAAAGAACAACGGTTTTTCAATGTAGCAATGAACAATGGTAATCATTGTTTATTGCTACATTGTTTTGGTTTTTTTAAAAAAAATTTCATTAATTTTTTTGGCTAGACCCGCTGCCCCCCCCCATCCGTTTACTGTTCATTTGAACAGTAAACGGCTTCCCTCTTTTTTTTTTTTTGTAAACATTGAATTTTTAAAAAAA